TTATGAACCCACGTTACAAACTTTAAACTAGAAAAACAATACCTTTACCCAAAAGCCATAAAGCTAGTGGAACATTTTTCATCATTATGATATGTATAGGTGTGCAAGTTTTAAGTGTGGGGGTGTCTGGATTAGTGGTATGGCTATGACTGATGAAATGGATCAAGTTCTCATTCTCAACTCGTGAGTTCCATTGTTGATGTAATTATAGTGCTGAAAAAAAAAAAAGAAAGAAAGAAAGAAAGGAAGTAATGGGGGAAATTGCTGTTAATATTACAAAATGTCCATGTTCATAACTCCTCCTGAAATTCCAAGAAATGAGTCTGTTTATAAGTGATATATATAAAGGTGGAAGCTTTTGCAAAGAATCGTTCCTTTCTATGAACAAAAAGTATTCTTTTTGAATGATCTCTTTCTCAATGCAAGAATTTTACATGGTTTAAATGGATTAATTGATTTTGCATGTCTTATATATTTGAGCTTGAGTTGATTCATTTTTGCTCCACTAGTTTCGATGGCTTTTGAGCTACACTCCCAAATATTTCCTACCTCGATCCTAAACCCCGTTACAACCCTTGAAAATTCCTTATGATTCGTGTTATGCATGTGATCTTGATGGTGGAGAATGAGAAGATATGCAAACCTCTGGTAGATTATTTTCATTGGAATGAATTTGAGTGAAACACATACCCTTCAAACACATGAGAGTCGAGTGTTTACTTCCGTGAGGGTCTACGTATTTAGTTTACTCCATATTTGAGTGAAAATGCTTACTAAGTAATTGTAAATTGGTTAAGAATATTTGTTCATGATATGTTATGAGTTTTGAAGAGCTTGGTTGTTTTTTGTTAATAGCGTTGCAACCTTGGTGTTTTTGGGGATGTGAATTTGAGTTTTGCCCGAGGATGAGCAAAAGTTAACAAAATTTGGTGTGCTGTCGCAGGCAACCAAAAATAAAACCTATACTCCTAAAAATACATATAATAGTGCGAGTAAGGATCATTTCCACAAAGAGTATCTAGCCTAGTTTTATGCCTCGTGAACAAGGATGGAGGGGGTTTGAGTTTAAGAAAAACAACTAAAGAACAATTCAAATTAAAGTATCGAAATCAATAAAGAGAACAAATCGTAGTCTAAGTCAACATTCACCATCGAAATTTAATTTACAACTGATCATCGATGCAAGTATATATCAATTCACTATCTGAATATTCACTGTTGGAACTATCTTCCTTTCCTTCCTTAGTCGCAATTAATTAGAAAACAAGCGATCTAATTAACCTTAACTACTAAACAACCCAAGACAAGTACTAAAAGTTTAATCTAGTAGCATCATTAAGAATTAGAAAGATCGATGAAACTAAACAACACAAGCACAAGTGAATGCATTTAATTTAGTCGAATGTTCTTTTTAAGATCTAATAATCTTTGATACAGTAAAGCATTAAATCTTAGTTGCTTTACAAATTAGAGGGATCAAACAATTACGGATTTGATATCTAACCCAACAGTAGATTACAACTAATAATAAACTAGTAGGCCTCCTAATAATTAAACGATGCAATCAAAAAATAGGTACAACAAAACATCCAATATACAAATCATAAATTGAACAATAAAAATAAATTAGATCTCACAGTTTTATTGATTTCGAGGCTTCCGTTTCCTTCGACCAAGTATTAAGGTTTAGCCACACATGGCCTTCATGAAAACTAGCAGGAAGAGTTAGAAAAGAAGGGGGTATAGCAGCCTATGTAGTCTGCTGGTTTTTTTTTTCTTCCTCTTTTTCTTTACTCATTCCTCTCCTCTAAAAACCTCCTCAAGCCTGATATAACTAGGAAAGTACAATAAAATAAAGTCCAATGAAATTTCTGTGCACCAAATTTTAGAATATAACACATCATGTGAACAATGCACGTGAACAGTGCACTAACTACAACTTCAATCCAGATTTCGACCTTGATTCAGCAAATATCTCTCAAATCTCAAAACATGAAAGTTGTAGAATTTGTTCTTGGCGTTCCACAGCATCTTGAATCATCTTAATCGGAGCTTGGATGAGAGAGTTATGCCCAAATTATGAAGTGATGTCGAAACTATCTAAAATCGTCCAATTAATTACGTTTTGCATTTAACGCCTTCATTTGCATCCTAAATCAAAATATAAGAATAATATGTACATTTAGGCACCAAATAAGTATAAAAGGCGAAATATTAAAAGAGAAAAATATGACATTTTGCATTCTCATCATCTTATTACTATTTATTTTAGGACAAATGACACCTTATACCCCAAAAGTTTTTTGTATTCTCAATTTTTGGGCAAATGACACTTAATTTTAGGGCAAATTACACCATTAAATCTTTTTTTTATTGTCATATTACACCATTAAATTTTTTTGTATTGTCATATTATACCATTAATTTTTTTTATATTGTCATATTACACCATTAAAGTTTTTTGTATTGTCATATTACACCATTAAATTTTTTTGTATTGATTATTTTATCTTACCTTTAAATTGATTATAATTATTTTTTTTGTAGATGAATTCACAATTTGACGGTTCTTTCACTGATTTGCTTATGAATGACACCGATTTATATGATGATGTTATACAGACCAATCCCATAGTATTGACGCCAATACAAAATAAAGCTACTCTAAGAGTGAAAAAATCGCAAAGAACAAAGAAATTCTCTCTAGAACAAGATAAATTAATTGTGTTTGTGTGGCTTAACACAAGTAAAGATGCAATTACTGGAAATGACCAACAATGTGGTGCTTTCTAGTATAGAATATTGAAATACTTAGAATTTCATCGAGACAATCAAAAAGTGCATTCTCAAGCTTCTATTAAAAGTCGTTGGACTGATATAAATGCAAAATGCGACAAATTTGTCAGTTTTTATAGTCAAATTGAAAGATTACGACAAAGTGGACACATCGTGCAAAATAATGTAATTGTTAAGTTTTTTTAGATAGACACTATTATGATTTGATATTTGAACTATTGACTTAATGATTTTATATATTTTTCAGGTTGATCAAACAAAAGAAATATTTGCTAAGATCATTGGAAGACTATTTCAATACAAACATTGTTAGAATATATTGAAAATAGAGCGGAAATGGACTGATAATCTCACCAGTAATAAGTGAGCAAAAACTCATTCAATTGATAGTCATGTTAAATCTTGCTATTCAACTCTATATTTAAGAGATGATACTGAACTATCATCCACTCGCAACCTTGATAAGTCATTGGGCAGAAAGGTTTTAAAGAAACAACTTAATAACAAAAAGAAGCAAACCGGTGTTGAAGTATTACTAGATCACCGCCACTGGAATCAAAGAATGGAAGTGAAACGACAAAAAGTTGAGCGGCACAACAAAATTTATGCTCAACATAATATTGGAGCAACATGGTAGACATTTAAAAATTAAAGAAATGCATGTGCAACAGAATGAAATAAAAATCATGGAAACTAACGCTACTGGAATTAACTTAATTTCTGTAACATATTGGAATAATTTGAAGATAGAGATTATAAAAAAAAAAAAGATTTTAATTTTTAGTCATTATTTATTATGTTGCTATAATTTTTTAATTTTTATTTATTATTTATTATGTTGCTATTATTTATAAAAATTTATGTATTAAGTTTTAATTATGGGGTATAAATTTAATTATATTTTTGAATAATATAATTAAAAAATAATACCCCATTTCAACAATTATTATTGGAGCAAATTTATAATTCTGGACTACCAAGCCGAACTCTCACCTTACACAGTCACCAACACTGTATGATAGATGGTGCTCAATCTCCCCGCCCCTGACAAATGACCGGCAAGACCGCCACCACCAACCACAGGAAGATGATAACCGTTAGATCCGTCAAGAACAGTGGGGCATTTTTCTCTCTTCTTCCCATATTCACCGTCACCACCACGACGACCAACCACACCATCTTCTTGTTCTATTCCACCACCCCTACTTCATCGTACTCTTCTTCCTACAAATTCCTCCCTCCAAGTTCGACGACTTTGTCTCCATCAATCCCTGGAACCCCTCAATTACAGGCAAGCGACGTCGTTCTCTCCTTCAAAGAATGGTTCAAGACCTCCAGCTGCGCCTTACTTTCTCAAATCTACAAAATCTTAGCTGCCCAAGACGAATCCGCCTTGTGCCGTCTCAAACTCCGCCTATGCGAAGCCCTAGTCCTCGAAGTGTTAAACTACGGAAAGGATGTGCTCTCTTGTTTGAAATTCTTCGATTGGGCCGGTCGCCAACCGGGTTTTTACCACACCCGCTCAACGTTCAACGCCATATTCAAAATCCTGTCGAGGGAGAAGCTGATGTCAATAATGGTGGGCTTCTTGGAGAACTATATGAAGCAGAGGTATGTGCATAGAGTAAGGTTTTACAATACTTTGGTTATGGGTTATGCCATTGCTGGGAAACCCGAATACGCACTTCAACTGTTCGGTAGAATGCGGTTTCAAGGAATTGATTTAGATGGATTTTCGTATCATGTGCTTTTGAATGCTTTAGTGGAGGATGGTTATTTTGATGCTGTTGAAATGGTTGCTAAACAGATTAGGATTCGAAATTTTGAGAGTGACATTACGTGTTCTATATTGGTGAAGAGTTTTTGTAAGCAGCAGGAGTTGGATAGGGCTGAGGAGTATTTGAGGGGAGTGGTGGGAAATGGGTTGGCGCTGAATGGACATGTTGTGGGAGTGGTTGTGGATGCTTTATGTAAAAATAACCAGTTTGAGAAGGCGGGAAAGTTGGTGGAGGAGTTTCGGAAGATGGGTATAGTCCCTATGGAGCATGCTTATGGGGTATGGATTAGGCGCCTTGTTCAGGCTGGGAAGCTTGATGGGGCTTTGGAGTTTTTGAAGTGTAAGAAGTTAGTGGATGGGTACGTTCCAGACGTTTTCAAGTATAATATGTTGATATGCAGGCTTTTAAGGGAGAATCGGCTGGAGGAGGTTTGTGATTTACTGATAGAGATGAAGGATCTTCAGATAGTACCTGATAATGTTACCATGAATGCTGCCTTGTGCTTCTTTTGCAAGGCGGGAATGGAGGATGTTGCACTAGAGTTGTACGATTCAAGGGCGGAGTTTGGGCTGTCTCCGAATTACATGGCTTACAACTATCTAATAAATACTCTCTGTGGGGATGAGAGTGTTGATGTAGCGTTTCGGGTGTTGAGGGACTCGATTGAGCATTGTTATTTTCCCAGAAGAAAGACCTTTTCAATTCTTGTTAATGCTCTGTGCAGAGCTGAGAAGCTTGAGAAGATGAATGAGATGTTTCTTGTGGCTCTGGAGAGAAATTTTATGCCTAGTGATTCCACTTACGACAAGTTTATATCAGCTCTGTGTAGGGCCAGGAGAGTGGAAGACGGTTATTTGTTACATGGGCAGCTCAATGGATTAAATAAAGTTTCTAGTAAGAGTACATACTTCAATCTGATCAATGGTTTTAATATGTCCGGTAGGGGAGATATTGCAGCTAGACTACTCATAGAAATGCAAGAAAAAGGTCATAACCCCACCAAGAAATTGTTCAGAGCTGTTATTTATAGTTTAAGTGAGATGGAGAATCCGGAGAAGCAATTTCTCAGGTTGCTGGAGATGCAGCTTTCACATCATGAACCCAATCCTATGGTTTACAACTTATTCATTGATGGAGCTGGGCATGCCAAAAAACCTGAGCTGGCTAGAGAAGTGTACGAGATGATGAAGAGAAGTGATATTGAGCCCAATTTGAGTTCTGACATTCTAGTGTTGCAGAGTTATCTGAAGAGCGAGAAAATCGCTGATGCTCTAAATTTCTTCCATGATTTGTCCAGGAGAAGAAAGATCGGAAGAAAATTGTACAACACCATAATTGTAGGTCTCTGCAAAGCCAACAAACCACACTATGCAGCGGACATCTTGTTGGAAATGAGGACGAACCACTTGAAACCTAGTCTTGAATGTTACGAGGTACTGGTACAGTTGCTGTGCGCACATCAGGAATACTATATGGTGGTAAATCTTGTAGAAGACTTGATAAATATTGGGCGTCCTGTTTCATCGTTTATCGGTAATGTGCTTTTGCTGCATTCGTTGAAAACTGAAGAACTTTTTGGGGCTTGGGCTCGTTCAATAGATGTGCACAATTTGACACCTAGCAGTTTGATGCTTGGGGAGCTGATTGGTGCATTCAGTGGTTGTAAAGCAGGCAAAGATATTGAGATAATTGGGGAACTAATTGAACGGTGCTTCCCTCTTGACATCTACACATACAACATGTTGTTGAGAAGACTATGTATGAGTGACATGGATCATGCTTGCAAGTTCTTCAAAAAACTATGTGAAAAGGGGTATGAGCCCAATCGGTGGACTTATGATACATTAGTGCATGGTTTCTTTAGACATGGTAGGACAACTGAAGCTAGAAGATGGATGGATGAGATGTTCGGGAGAGGGTTTGATCTAACTGATGCAACCAAAAAATTCACATAGCATATAATTAAGAAGGCACATGTGTACGGGAAAATGAGTGTAGAGGATTGGCTAAAGAAGAGAAGATAGAATTTGAGATGAATATGTACAAAAAATAATGTGTCAATTGAGGATATGTTGAGATGAAATAGTTTGGTCTTATTTGGTGAAGACCAATGATTGCACCAGTGAGAGTATTTGACTAGGTTCAAAGACACTCCATAGGCAGTGAGGAGGCCACGGAAATTTGGTCAAGTTAATGAGATAAAAATGAGCTGTTTCCATTTTTTAACATAAACTCTTGCCATGTATATTGTGGAAAGACAATTTTAGTCTTGCTGGAAATTGATAAGAAATTGGTACAGCTGTGCCGGTTCTCTCAGGTTTTTTCCATTGTCAACAGTTGCGGAGCTTATGTACAGATGAGGAATTCAAGTGGTCTTTATACTTTGTTCAAATACTCTCACTGGGGCATTTACATCAGAACCACTCTCATCAAATAGGACAAGGATTACCTGAGTATCATTGTATTAACTTATTGAGAGCACTCGTATGGATTTTGGATTTCAGTCAATGGTTGATTGCCAAGTAAATCTCGGGAATGAGTGTACATTCTCATTTATGTAATTACTCCCATGATATTTTCACATTCAGCTGCACACCTATTTGGCCTGGAATTCTGTGAAGATCTCACTTTAGGAGTTTTCCTGGTAAACGAAGTGGCTTGGGCGTTCGAAGCTTATTTTGAGTGTTATGGTAAGTTCTTTGCAATATTTAGTAAAAAAATAGCATTTTTTTTCACTTTATTGTTCCAATTACAATAATCTAGTACTTAATGAAGTTTCATGCATTTCAACATCATCTCTCCAGCACTTTTCACCACAATTTGAGTGGAAATTTGTGCTATGACTTGCTAGCAATTTATGATATGAAGGGTATGTATGTTTTCTTTTCTGTCAACCATATATGTATGTATGCATTTGTGTATGTAT